TACAGATCGGATAATTCATTTGCATCTTTAAAAAATGGAAATTACATACAGATTCAACAATTTTTAGTCAATATGGATGACGGGAAAGAATATGTAATATACAAAAAGGTTTTAGTATCAAGAAATGATTTCATTAGTGATGAGTTACACCGCATGAAACAAGTAATAGAAATAAATCATAATATTGAAATCACAGGCACTCAATATATCGATAAGATATGTATTTATTTGAGCATTGATTGCAACGATTATATTTCCAGTGTACCTAATATGTATTGGAGATAAGGTGACTTGTCAAGTCATGTAATAATTTTTTTAATGAATTATAATTGATTTCCATATTATAATATACTTTTTTCTATTGTTACAGAGTTATGTATAAAATTTTTTTCATATACGAAGACATGAATCTTAAATTTATTTTAATTATGCTATACAGGAATAAAAAATTGCACCTACGTTCAGCAAAAAAAAAATTAATAAACCAAATGCTTTTCGATATAATACTCACCGGAAATTTAAAGGCTAAGCGTGTATACTTCCTACCAAATCCACCTGTAATGTCATATAAATACTAGAAATTACAAAGCATCCCCTAGTAAATTATCCACCTTGAATTCATAAGTATTCCATAAAATTTTCCTATAAATTTCAATTTTATTTTATTTTATAATTAATAAAAATATTAATAACTGCAATCCCACTATTCCTTTATTAACCCTTCATGGCAATAAATAAATGCATATAGAATTTCTAAAAATTGCATATGGATTTACTAAAAAATCCACATGGAAAATGAGTATACGCATCTGGAATTTATAAAAATTCCATGTTGATTTACTAACATATCCACATGGAAAATAATTATATACATGTGGAATTAATAAAAATATCCATCAAGAGTTCGTCATAATCCATCTGGATTTGAAAAAAATGAATTTCATAAAATATCCACAAGGAAAAAGTTCATGGAAATCCATACAAATTTATATAGAATCCACAAAAATCCACATGAAAATCCATGTGGAAATCTAGCTGGAAATCCAGCTGGATTTTTTAGATAGAGTAGATATGATTTCCAATACATAATACTGACTATGAAATACGATGAAGTTAATATTATGCTATAGGGTCCATTTTCTTGGAGTGGCGTAGGTCCATTATTGAAAATAGAAGGTAATATGGATTCTGCCATGTACAGAAAAATTATATTGCAGCAAATGTTACCTTATCCTCATCATAATATGCCAAAAGGATGAAATTCTACCAGAATAATGATTCAGAACATCGATTACAGCTCCTTCAATAAGTCTTTATTAAAAACGAAATTAGAGTTTTAAAGTGGCCAAGTCAGTCTCCGGACTTGAATTCTACAGAATATTTATGACAAAAGTTGAAATTAAGATTAGGGACTCATAATTATACTAATAAAGCTGATTTGTGGGAAAAAGTTCAACAAGAGTGATAAAATATCTCTTATGATAGAATTATGGAGCTTATTGATTCTATGCCTCACCAATGTGCCAATGTGCCGTTATAGCTTCTAAAGGCATAGTTACGAAGTTCTAATCGCTACGTTACATTTAACATAATTTTCAGTTTTATTTTTCATATTACTAGATTTTTTCTCATACTTATATGTTATAACGAAGCGAATATTTGGGTGAATGGACGTCGCAACGTACATGATTGCGAGTATGTGTTCGCGCCCGAAGGGCGCCATGTTCATGTGTAAGGTCACACGCAGGGAAGGCGCTGGACTTTCGCCCTGTTGTTCGGCTGGCTTCGCACCTTGGCGGTGCGGTTCGAAGCAGCTGCTTCCCCGTTAATTGCTTTCTCGATGAGAGAAGTCGAGGAGCGCATGATTGTAGAGTGTGTGATGATGCGTCATCGCGTAAAAAGCCCAACCTACAGGGCTGACGCGAAATCCTCTTCCGACAAGAGGACGCGGACGCTTGATCAACTGATAGCTCACATAAGAGCATATGATTAGCCCCGAGACCTCGCGAAAAAACACCTCTCAGGACCCGCCCAAATCGATGCGTACGACCCTTACATTCCCGGACATACACTATTACACACAGCAATCCGGACCGACATTCCCTCAGGAAGCCGAGAGACGAAAAAGGTCGCAGTCGAGATCAGTTGAACCTGCTGGCTAATGCACAGGAGAGTACCGCACATATACACTAACACCACTGGTCGTCCAATTAGCACACCCAAAGGACTGTCCGAAATACACACACACGCGCACGATTGACCTCACGCGCCCCGGGGAGCAACAGGAACAGCAAACAGTAACCAATAAATAAGTAAATTAGACGCAAAAATACGACCAGTAATAAAATTGCGCAGGCTAAAGACTAATATAGACGGCGATAATAATCGGCTTGACAACAATTTAGACCAATGAGATAAAAACCCGCGACCGTAAGGGGAGGTAATCGAGGAGAAGCGACGCGATGCCGTAAAAAGCCGCGACAGTATCAGGGGAGCAGCTTGACGGTGAGCAGTGTAGTGTAACAGCGATAAGCAATCAGACAAAGATGCAAGTGTAGAGTAGTAGCTGAGCATTAACTGTGAGAGGACTAGAGACGAGACGAAAAGTGGCAGGGTACATAGAGGACAAACGACCAAGATATTAGCAGTGAGAGAGAGTGATATAGCGCCTTGGGCAAATTGACCCAGAGCAGTATAGCGATATCGAGTAAAAGGAACCACAAGGCGGTATTCCCCCCCCCCCTTTTTTTCTTATTTATCTTCTCATCGTATCTATCAGTGGATAAAGAGTGAGTACCCTTTTTCTTCCTCTCCCTCTTCATGCTCGTCCGTAAATCAGACCGCAGTCAACCGACCAGTGCCGCCTAACCTTCGCGTGATCACCGAATTTACCCGCACATTAACGGGAGTGCCGCCTGACCTTCGCGCGATCACCGAATTTACCCGCGCATTAACGGGAGTACCGCCAGACCATTCCGTGGCCATTTTTTATTTTAATCTTCCTGCAATTCGCTTAAGACTCTAATTACTTAATAAATGATAATTTCCATTAATAAGCTGTTATCTTTGATTTAACCTTGCCAAAACTTCGCATTCCCCTGTAGCTAACGCGATCGATTTACGCGAAACCGGCTAGCGCGTCGACGCCAAGACGCCATTTTGTGTGCACGAGAGATTAAGCCTCCCCTTACCACTCTTCACCGTTCCTGGATTGCTGATATGGCGCCTTGAGACGCCGTTCCGAAGACTCGCTTCTGAAAAGAGTCCCTATCCCGACATTTTTGATAAGTCGTCGCCCGCACTTCTCTTCGCACGTAAAGTAGGTACCCTCCTAACGCGAGGACGGTAGCTGACGCCCAAAACAAAATCAAAATGCAATGATTGACTGACTGCTCCGCTGGTGGCAGTTGAGGCCGGAACAAATTAAATGATTTCTCCATCTCCCTCTCCCCGTCACAAGTGCTAGAAGAGGAAGGATCGCAAAAACTCACGCGACCAATGCTCGTGAATTCGTTTCGCGAGGGACTTTGGGAAACCGACCGGCAAAAGATGACTAACTGGTGTTTTACTTCGAGCGCCTTGACTTTATTGAACTGTTATGTGGATGGTACGGGTCGCCCATCGGGCGACCACTATAAGCGATTTAACAACAATGACAATGCCAGGCCGGACGCTTGCAATCGATAAACCGGTGTACGTATGACAAAGAGAGAATATCCGTATCCTCGCGCGCACGCTTTCGCTCGCAAATAATACAAATCATACGCTACCTTAACTTTGCCGCTGGCCAGCCGATAAAGCTTTATCGCCTCGCGCTCGCTGCTGCCGCTAATGATGATACGCTGGTACGGACGCCTCTTGTCAAAAGCTTCGTCCTCTGCGCGGTGCTGGATCTCGAGCTCGTCGAGCTCGGCGTTCCGCTCTAGTATTTGAGGTGGGTCACGGCTTTACAAGCAGATCGTCGCACAAAACTGTTTACTGTGCGCGGACATCGCAAGAGATCTGGCTTCTTTTACCCCGTTCATCAATCAATACACCGATATCCTAGAAACGTTTTGTTTGTTTCAAGATTAGGTGCGGTGACTCGAGCGGACAAAGAAAGACTACCGGTAACACGTGCGAACCGCCCCTCTCTTTCTCTCTCGTAGCCCATGCCGCTTCGCCCGCGCAGTTCAATTCGCGAAACAAGGAATACTCGTTACAATGTATAAATACCAAATTCGTAGTTGGCCGGATACTTATGAACAGGCAAAATATTTTATATTAGTTACAAAATTTTGTTAACAATTAAAATAAATTTTTGGATAATCTATTTTTATAGGATAATAAAAGTATTTTACGAAATTATATTTGTATTTCTACTTTGCATTCTTCATACTTTATTAAAATATAAAATTATCTTTGGTGGGATACTTTTTCACGCAATGGTAATCTTATATTTGTATTCACATAATTACATTTCCACATTTTCATAAATTTCAACACGCATGCGTACTGGCTAATCGATGTCTTAGACAGAGTCCACTACTATCTAGTAAAGTGAAAAAGTAAAAACCAAAAACGTTTATCGTTACAATCAAATATTAATTATGTTAATTCAATTATTTGTAAAAAATATTTTAAGTTTCATATAAACGAATAAATTTCATTTGTGCACAATTTTTGGAGTTCCTAAGACGAATTCGATTTAAGAAATATTCGTTTTTGAAGAAGCTATTATTTCATAAATTTAGTTACAAATTTTCTCACTAAGATATTTTTTTTATAAACGAATGGGGTAAATTATTTAGAATACATAGACTATCTGGGCAAAATCATCTTAAAAAAAAATTTTTATTTTGTAATTTTGAGCACGTTTTTCTGAACTATTTTTGGTTGGGGGGGGGGGGGGTGGTACAAGATATATTATACAGGTTTTATTTCCTTTAAAAATTAAGTTATCCGAAAGGAGTAAAATAATGTATCCTTTATTGCAAAGATACTTGCAATTACTGAAATTCTCTAAAAAAAACTATATTAAATTTAAATCTATTGTAAATCATTTACTTGTTCTACCTCCAAAAGTGAAAACATTTACAATCACTCGAACTGTATTAACGAGGCCGAAAGAATTAGAGCAAATGAGAAAACATATCACAGAACACCATAATAATAGAAAACATAAGGAATCCAATGAAACTGAAGAAAATTTTGGTTTATACGGATATTGCTTATTAGTAATTAAATTTAATGTTAAATGAATAAAATATGTTGTTTCAATTTTTCTATGAATTTGAGAAGCATTTTTATAACCAACATTGTTTTAGACTATTCCAATAATTACTTTTGGACTTGGAACATGGCAAATTTGGAGAAGGGATTGGAAATTGAATTTGATAAAAGATCTAGAAGCAAGGTTATCCAGAGAACCAATCGATATTCCAGAAAAGTACATCTTTAAAATATTATGATATAATTTTTTTTTAATATATGCTGCTTATTTTAAAAAACTATCATTTTAAACCAAAAATGCAATCTATGTATTTTTTTAAAATGAGAAAGTGACAGAGTACATTGAAATATCAACCTTGCAGATTTGTTTATTATTATTTGTTTTTCAATTTTTAAATATATAATTCATGCCCTCTTTGAAATCAGTTACAGAGAAGAGACTGTATGAGATAAATACAGCAAGTTAGAAAATATGTAGATATTTTATATGGCTTTATTATAACAGAAAATTTCTTTGGTATTTTATTTGGTTGTATATGTATGCAAGTAAATTAGATACATACACACTTACATATATGATTCAATAAGGTGATTAGATAGCATTAAACAGAAAAAATGTAAAGCCTTATTTACTTTTGTATAAAAGTTCTCATGATTACAAATCAACTTTAAACTTTTTGCATCTATAGGTACTTAATAAAGGTTTATATATTTTTTGACATGTATTTTCATATCTCCAATCAACGCTCTAGAAAATCACTATAAAAAAATGAAGTTTTCTTCTTTTCTGAGAGTTGAAATGTCAAAATAAATCATTTTAAGAATGTTTATTTTCTTTTTGATGATCTAGTTTGGAATGAGCAAAGCACATTTTTAACAGAAATTGTTGTATCTTCGAAATACAGTTTCTTAAATTTTACTCAAAAAAATATTGAATTTGCAATAAATAATATAAATTATTGTCACAAATTTTACCTAAGAAATAAAACTTCCAATTTTTCTTGTTTAATCTTATCTGGTCCCTTTAATATTATATATATTTTTAGAATTCTAATCATAATTAATATGTACAATATTAATATGATTTATAGGCTCTCTCTCAATATCTTTAGTAAATTATTCATAAATATAAAACATTTCTATAATTCAGTTTATAACGAAAAAATATTCATTATTTATTATTCCGAAATTTACATAGAAATTATAGTAATAATTTTATATTTATGAAAGATATTATAGTGTATTATTCTAATACAAAAGAATAAAATTGAAAAATACTATTATTTTAATATTAATGGTTTGAAATAAACTATTCTGTTCATAAAAGTACCTTAATAATATATAAATAATTGCATTAGCTTAGAACAGTTGGCAAATCTCGATTTCTGTCCCATGAAAGTAGAAGGTGAATTCTTGTATGACAATGAATTTGTTATTGGGCCAAGAAGTTTAATTATTAATGGTCAAGGAGCATTGGAAGGAAAAGGAAACCTTATTTCAGGTCATTCTTTTAATCGAGGCTACAATGTTATAACACCCTTCAAGGTAAAAAATAGAAAGTAAGTAGAGCATACATCCAACTATATTTCATTTATGTATATTAGTATTTTTATACCCTACTAAAATATGCTTGCTGAAATATGTTAAACACGCATCCCCAACAATGTAAAAACTTATAATATGGGTAATATCTTTGCAAATACAATTGAGTAAAAAATATAAATTGAATAATTCTCTGACAATCATAAGAAAGCTAAGTGAGTAAAAAAATCATGGTTATTTAATTTTTTATGTAAATATGGACTGAGAAATTTTTTCATTAAGATACTTTGACATGAAGCAGTAGATAAAGGAAACTAATATATCAAATGAAAATCAATAAAAAATCATTGACAGATATTTTTCTAGTAATGAAACCAATTTATATAATGAAAAGTAAACGGTTTAATAGAAAAAAATTAGAATTATAAATCACATTCCAAATGAATTCAACCAACAAAAAATCGTTAACTCGGGTTTTTTGTTACTTTGATCAGTGTTTTGGGAAATGAAATTATTCATATTTTTTTGAATGACCATTATTCTGATATAGTTCAGTGGAATTATGCTTCTAGATGTAAGAGCAACATCCTATATTATTGTTGAAATTGATTAAAAATATCATAATAAATGATGACCCTTCTGAAAATATCAACTAAATTCTTATGTAAAAACTAAAGTACGAATTTATACAAGAAATTTGTTACGTAATAAGTATAAATTCGTTCGTTTGTTCTTTATAAAGTTTTCTTATTTTTTTATGAGCTTTCTCGGCAGGCAGCCATCGGTTGTTTGTGATCGCAAGCACGTGAGAAAATGTCTCACAGGGCTGTAGCTGTTCTTAATTTTGAACCACGTTTTAATGCCGTGTAAGTACGCATTAGAAACGTTTGACCATGCTAGCAGAGCGTTGTTAGGAAAAGGGGAAGATAGTAAGAACATCGATTCGAATGTTTAAATATCGATTTAAATAATAGAAAGATGTTTGTTTCTGCGTTGCTACGGTTTTTCTTTGAAAAACTCGACTATTATTTTTTTTTTGTTTCTTTGACAGTTACGTCCTAGCTTTCGAAATGAACGGATATAATAGTAAATTACGATACAAGTGCAAGAAAGTAGATTCTTGTCTCGTGTGGCGTTTACGCCCGAGCGAAACGAGGGTGGAAAGGTACACGAGACGAGAAATTCTTTCCTGAATATGTGCCTTACCGTATTTTTTGATACGACGTGTGGAAAGTGCGATTTTCAACGCACGTTTCCTGCCGAGCGTGTGGGAAGGCGCACTTTGCGCACGGAGTGTCGAAAAAGATATAATTATAATATGTAAAGTTTGTGTTACTTAATTTTAAATAAACTTATAGAACAAGAAAAGAATTGTTATTATAGAGATAAATTTTTCTTTGATTGAGAGAAATATTTTGGCGACCGTGACAGGACAGTTTTTTCGTTTCTCTCAAATAATATTGAGTTTTTTATAAAGGTTGAACGCGTGTGAACGGAAAGCGCATCAAACATCTAACGACATGGCTTCGAAACGAAAACCTTCTGCTTTATCTCAAAACGTCTCTGTTGAAAAGCATGCTCGTCAAACCGTTCGAGGTGTCCGCTCAAAGAACGGTGTTCGCGGTGTTCTTACTGGACCTCGCGACGCAAATCGAGGATCATCTGTTGCAGTTCGGGACGCTGGCCGGGAAATCGTTGCTACGGACCAAGGCAACAACAACCAAACTTCTTTCGGTCCTCGCGCCATTGGTCAAGGAACAACTGTCGCTGCTATACAAGCATTGTGGAACAGACGATGACAAATCTGAAGATTTTGATCTTCCTTCCTATCAATTTGCTGACGAACCGATCAATGATCCTGATGAACTGTCTGCCGATCGACATGGTCGTGTTCGCCTTCGCAGACCGACTACTTCAGTTCTTACAAATGAGCTTGACGGATACGATATCGGCTTCGTCGAACCTGTCTTGCCGGAGCCCGTAAATATAGTCATCCAACGCGAGCATCCAGCAGTTCGAAGCTCTAATACAACTCATCGAAGTCGAAGCGCTCGTGAAGCTCGAAGTTCCAATGAAAATGTGGTCGAGTTTTTAATGTAGCAATTCAAGAACGTGAAAATAACGTCTATGAAGATGAATACTGCGATAACTATGAGTATTATAATGAAGAAGTTGGTAACTTTCGCGATAGATTTAATCGAATATTAAACAGTACAGAGATGCATGGTTCTCAAAATGCACGTTTGATTTCTAATAATCATGTTTACGAGGATGTTCAAAATAGAACAATCGATCCGATTTTACGTTTAGCTAACATAATGGAAAGGTCACTTGCATCTCGAAACGATAGTTTATCAGCCTCGACTGTAATTCAAACAAATAAATTGATAGGTTAAATTTTCTGGTAATTCTTTAAATTGGTTACAGTTTGAACAGGCTTATAACACTTCGACTGAAAAAGGTCAAATTGACGAAACTGGTAATACTATTCGTTTATACGATTCGTTGAAAGGTCAAGCACGAGATGCGGTAAATTTATTATTTGCTTCTGGAAGCTCAACTACGGAAGTAATGCGCTCATTACGTTTACAATTTGTAAATAAAAAAATCATTGAAGTTAAACTTGTGGAGGGGATTAAGAAATTACCTTTGATAAACTCAGGAAAAATAAATTTGTTACAATTTTCTTCGAAACTGAGTAAATTGTTTCAGCTTTAATGTCTCTAGAAAGTAAAGGTTATCTAAATAGTCCTGAGTTTACAGAAAACATCGAAAAAAAACTTCCAAGCTCCATGCTTCGTGATTATGCTCATTACAAAACTGACAAAAACAATAGTAAAAAATATTCATTAGAAAAGCTTTCTGATTTCGTAATAATTGAAGCTGAAATAGCAGCTGAAGCTGGAATAATGAATTTGCATAGTGAAGGAAATCAACAAAACAACAATATCACTAAAAACTCCCGTTCCAGTTGACCTTTGAATTCGAAATTAGTTTTATTAACCTCTCATTCAATCTATGAAAATATCACAACTGTTAATAATGACGAAGGTACTTCAAGTAATGGTAAAAATAATTGAATTTCTTGTTATCATTGTAAGTTAGACCACCCTATTGAAAAATATAACGATTTTAAAAAAAAAATTCATGAGAGATCATTGGAGAATTGTCAAAAAGTTTCATCTATGTTACTATTGTTTACGCGAAAATCACACTACTAAAGATTGTATACACACGAAAAATTGTAACCAATGCGATCGAAATCATCATCGAATTTTACATTTCAAACCACGCTATACAGATCAGAATTTCAAAAACCAACCATCCAACGATCTCGACAATATTTCAAACGAACCCTCGACTCATACCGTTGCAAACTCTAATGCAGCATGACTATATGATACCGTACTTTTGAAGGTTATACCAATCAAAATAATAGTTCGACATCGTTCCAAATTTATTCACGCTTTACTCGATGAAGGTTCTACCGTTACTTTAGTTAATAAAAACGTTTTAAAAGAGGTTAACGTAAAAGGAAATTCAGTAAACATTTCTTGAGAAGTCTCGATCAGCAAAAATCATTAACGTTGTGCAAAGAGAAAGTTAACGTAAATATTTAAACTACAAACAATGATTCTTTCACTTTATCCAATGTTTTAGTAGTCGATAATCTATCTTTACCTCTACTTACTCTACCCAATGAAATTTCAAATTTATGTCTTGAGAAAACAGGAATACTTGTTAAACCTTATAATACCATCCCTGAAATGCTAATAGGGCAAGATTTTTGCGTTCTTATTTTGAATAGAGTCACAGCAATTAAAGAAAAATTTTGTAATTTCAAGATGTTTGCTTGGTTGGTCTATTCACGGGAGAACTTCTGCAAATATCTCGAAAAATCTAAACTCAACAGTAGAAAATATTCAGGTAATACCCGAAGGTCATGATAATAATTTTGACAAATGCATGGAGGAATTTTTCAGCTTAGACTCAATAGGAATTCGTGCTTATCCCAAAACTTTCAACAAAGATGATTCGCGAGCACTAGAAATTCTTCATAAAACAAATCGGTATGAAAATGGGATATGGAAAGTAGGTTTACCGTGGAAAAGCGATAACGATATTATAAGAAATAGTAGGTCAAATGCTTTAAATAGGTTACATAAGCAACAAATGAAACGCGATTCGAGATATGCTGAAATGTATTTGAAAGAGATGAATCGATTAACGAAAAAGGTTTCGCCGTTAAATGTAAATCACCGCCGATCAATTCTCGCGTTTGGTATCTTCTGCATTTTGGTGTTCAAAACGTAAGTAAGCCAAATAAAGTACGTTTAGTTTTCAATGATGCGTGTAAAGTCGATGGTGTTTCTTTTAACGATTTAATTCTCTCAGGACCGAATTTATTAACTTCGTTATTGGAGGTTACTATGCGTTTTCGTCAGAGATCAATAGCCTTCAAAATAGACATGCGAGATATGTTTTTAGTTATCCAAACTATTGAAAGTGATCACGATACTCAGAGATTTCTTTGGAGAGGTATGAATTTATCATTAGAACCAAAAGAATACGTCCATGTATCAGTTTTGTTTCATGCAAAATCTTCGCCTTTTGTTGCTAATTATATTAAAAATAAAAATGTTGATAAATTTAGAAATCAATATTCTGAAGCTGTCAAATGTATCAAGCAAAATTCATACATGGACGATATTTTAACTAGCGTTGACTCTATTGAAGAAGCTGAAGAACTAATTCTTCAAATTCGTGAAATTAGTAATTACGCTAATTGGGGCTTACACAGTTGGGCTTGTAATGAACCTTCGGCTTTGAATGTATTAAGGGACGAAAACAGTACAAAGGCTTTATCAAATTCTGTAGATTTAAATACGGATAAAACAACAAGATCGCGTGATAGGTTTACATTCGAATTTGTCTCTCGATAGATTGACTTTCGAGTTAAATCTCATGAAAATACCAATCGAAGTAAAAAATGTTTTAAAAATTCCTACTAAGAGAC